TATCACACGTCAACAAGTTATCGATAATCATACGTCATCAATTGCTAAGGAATTGTTAGCCCATGGTAAAGATGTTGGTATTTTGGTAATAGATGGCACATATTTATATATACAGGTAAATGCTATACCCTGTAGTTAGACATTCAATGGTAAAATACAATGTCTGGGCAGTATGCTCTTACTCCAACCCATGAGGTAAAAGCACTCACGATGTAGCATAATTCTTTTTGATACGGGAATCCTAGAGACGTTTTGAATGATCATTGATTTAATTAAAGATAATATATGCCATAACGTTTTCTTTTGATTCTATAGAAGAGCCGTAACAATGATTTTCAACGAAGAACGTATAACCTTCATAAACACCGTTCCCTCGTGAAAGCTATGGTTATCGTTTCCACCACTGGCTATATTCTTACTGTTCTGGGACCCTATTTGTCGGATTTTCACAATAATGATGCATCTATTTTGAAAACCATTATGTTGACCAATGTTGATGATATTCTACGCTGGGTTGGAGAGAATGGCATCGTTGTTGTTGATCGTGGCTTTCGGGATTCGGTTGGCGTCTTGGAGGCACTTGGACTGAATGTAGCCATGCCATCGTTTCTAAACGGTCGTAGACAATTCGATACACTGGAAGCAAACGAAACACGTTTCATCACGAAGATAAGATGGGTAGTAGAGAGTGTGAATGATCGTTTAAAGCATTCAAAATATTTTAATCAAACAATTCAAAATAGTACCATTCCCACTCTCCAAGAATATCTTCATATAGTATGTGCTCTCATTAATCGATTTCGACCACCAATGATCATACCATCGCTCGCTAATGATGAGGTTGCTCATTTAATGAAACCATTGTTAAACGACGAGAACTTCTTGAAACAACGACTCGATGAAAATAGATATTCTTGGACAGGTGTCGATGCGAGCAAAATGATGAGTTTTCCAAAATTAACAATAGAGCAAATAAGATCAATAACTTTAGGTTAATAATAACACAATTTTAGACTCTTTCATTTCTGTACGGAAGTAGTATTTCATGGAAACGTTCGTGCTCTTTACTTTTAGGCGTTTTCCAATTGAAACAAGCTCGAAGCTACGCTGAAGAACATGCGTCAGATCAAGACCTTACCGGAGTCATTGATTATCAAGTTCAAATATGTCATACAGCACCTGATCTACTCCGAGTTAAACTACAGTCACGACACTCGTCCTCTAGAACGTATGCAGCAACAATACAATTCAGTCAATTACATGTAGAAGGGTGGTATTGTGGATGTAGTGCAGGAAGTCGCACAGTTGGTTGCTGTAGCCATATTGCTTCCGCCATTTGGCATTTGGCATATGAACGCTTCCAAGTTCATCACCATGACCAAATGTCAACCGCCTACATGTTAACAGTGGATGATAGCATGGCGATATCGGATTATCACGATTCAACCGATGACGATGTCAGATATCAACTCAGCTAAGCCATGCATAGCCAAAAAACACGTATTTTTCTTTTCTTATAAGCATTTTGTAGAGTTTTGAAAGAGCTTTCTTTCGATATACAATGTAGACCGCAACCTAGGTTCTTTCATGGTGCGAAAGTTGAAATACTATCGTTGGCTATGCGGAAAAGGTCATTTTTAACAGTAATATGGCAAAAAACATGGGTGTTCGTGGTGTATATAACAATCGAGCAATAGACAGTTTTGTGCGCCGTCCAAAGCTGCATCGAATGGTATATAAGACTTTCCTTCAAAGTTGTTGTGTTCTGAGAAAATTACGGAAAACGTCTCGGAATGGGCTCGCGAAGCTATTGTTGAAAACTGATCGATTTTCTGACACATATGAGGTCCGAAGTCCAACCAAGGGTATAGAACCCCATAAAATTGTATGCTCTTTCATTCTAGATACTTTTCGAGACGATCTGAAACAGGGCCGATCCTCGTTCTTATTGCACCCCGTCCTTTGACAGATCTTGTGCAGATATAAACTTTCTGCAGGACATGGGTAAGGCTACGGATGCTGCATTCTTACATACACGTTGAACACATCCTTCAGCCGCACTTTTACCGACTGCTCTCAACTGTTCGATAACTCGTAACTGGAGTTGCTTGATGGAAGATTCACTAGTCAAGCCATTATTATTTAAATCATCTACAAAAATGAAAATTTTTTCCCTCAATTGACTCATTATTAATGAGTCATTAATATAGTTTCAAGGTTATTACAAGTTTAAGGTAATACTTAGTTTTGTAATAAAGTTTGTGTTAGTTTTCTATTTTGGTCTATTCAACACAAACACGCGTATGTATATAGAAGAATAAGACGCATTTATTTTGTTTCTGCACAGCTATACACGTGTTTCGGTATACGATGAAATTCGTATTATGTGTACAGAAAAATATATAGAGACCGAGAGCACATGGATGTAGAGACACACAATAAATTGTTTTCTCAGACCATCTTGGTTCTTTTTGTTCATCTACTGTCTCCTGACTGACTCTTTCTCCATCAGCTTATTTTTACAAGAAAATAAAGCCTTTTAATATGAGAAGGCCATAGCTGTATGTTTTCGTCTTTACGTCTTTTTTTCAAGTGTTTTCATTTCAATGTTTGTTTATGTTTTAGAAGCAGACCTGCTAAAAATCAATCTGTACCTTTACTAATGGGTTTGGTTTAAGAATACCACCTATATCAGATGAGCGATCGTGGATTCTATAGGAATGTTGTCAGATAAGTCACATATATCCTAAAGCTGAAAATGGTTCTTTGTGGATGTTTCTATTTGTATTTAGGCATCATTAAATTTCAGAAAGTTTACGCACTGTACTTCTACTTGCAAGAAACTTTGAAGAACGAAGAATTTGGACCAAAACATTAGGTACATTTTGAAACGTAGAGTCACATGTTCTAATTTCGATACTAACTTTTTCAGGTCTCTTATTTTTTTGTTTTTAAAGTTATAGAATTTAAAACCAAAGCCCTAAATTAATTTCTTATTTTTGTAGCTCTGAGCTTTCAATGAACATTTAGGGCTCTACTTGTAAATTCTATAACTTTGCAGAGAAAGCTCGTGTAGAGCTGGGAGAGTTGAACGATATTGATGCAAAAAAAGGCTGCGTAGTTGTCAAATTGCGACAAGCTTTTTAGCCCATTGTCTGAGGCTCAATAGTTAACTTATCTGCGTAGATAGATAGAGAATTTTGTGCTCTATCGATCTCACTTCTTTACAACTTCATACAATGTTTCTGCTACAACAACTGGCCTTATAATTAGCTCTCAATCGGTTTTTCAATTTTTTCAAATTAAATTAAATTTTTTAATTAATGGTTTCAGTTGAGAAACGTTGTATATATATCAAACGATGCCAAATTTAATTCTATATAAGATAATGAGATTAAAACCCTGGATTCAGAACGTTTTACTACTTTTATAGTCAAAAACTAAAGTTTGTGAAAAATAGATTCAAAAGTTAGGTTTTTTGGATTTGTCGGTTTTCTACACAAAGAAATTTTCTTAGAAAATTTAACTGTAAAATTTCGAAAAACATGTTCTTCTTACTCACTCTCATCTCACCGATTCAATTCAGAATTCAATTCTCTATCGCTTGAGCTTAGAATAAACTCTATGGACTACTGGGCAGTGCCTCAAAAACAACGAATAAAAGTGTCCGATCTTATCAGGGCCAGCCGATACACTAGTTTCTGAGAAAATCAAAATATACTCCCATATCGTCAGTCATAAAAAGAACGCTTCCTAACGAGCTACATCCATTTTTGAAATGAGTCCATGTTATAAACGAGACTATCATTGAGCTGAAAATTCCATTAGAATCTGTGATATTTTCGTTTCGTAGAAATACAATTTTTTTAATTTATTTATTTAAATAAAAGGGGAGAGGTCACAGTAACAGAAAAAATACAAAGCTCTACTAGACTAATCTTATCTCAAATGTTGGCATAAATTCCATCTTAATCTATGTAGTGCAGAAGACAAAACGAGAGAGTGTAAAGAAACACAGTAAGAGAATGATAGAATATGACTTTATTGACTGCCTAAGAAATGAACAATGAGATAGAAGTAGAATATGTACAAAGGGTGAGTGACCATACACACAAAAAGAGAAAGAGAGATGAATTATGGTTGGAGAAGAATGATAGTGATCATCCAGTGAAAGGAAAATTTATATTTCGTTAGAGATATAAAAAGCATGTGGGCATTTTTAAATGTTGTATTGTGTATAGTTCACGCTTTATTTAACATCATCTTGACGTATATTGCGTATACCGTGAAGTCGAAAATTATCAACAATAACAGCGAAAATCAACAAGGTGTAGAGCGTGTTCTGGTGTTTCAGACTGACAGACATGGCAATGGTAGAAAATAACGAATTCTACGTTGACGTGCCATGTATTGATTGTACTACGCGTAAATTTTATAGCGATTATGTTGGATTGGTCCCTGATGAAGTCGAGACACATGTGAAAAGGGTGCGCGACAAGGCATATAAAATATATCCATACCCGTGTCTTGGGCAGTATTCATTCAATGAGTTTAGCTTGGCAATGCTTCCTGATTATCTGGAAGTTTTACAACGCGTCAAAGATGGTGACAAGATATTAGACCTTGGTTGCTGTTTGGGCCAAAATATTCGAAAGCTTGTGGCAGACGGAGCTCCTCCAGAAAATATTGTAGGAACCGATCTTCAACAAGATTTTATCAATTTTGGTTACGAAATGTATGGAGATCAAGAGAAATTGAAAGTTTCGTTCACAGCAGGCGACATATTCAACGAATCCTTCCATCAAACTTTGACAGGGCATTTTGACATTGTCTTCGCGGGAAATTTCATTCATTTGTTCGACTATAATGATCAAAAGCGTGTGATGAGACAAATTGCAAAGTTTATACGCGAAAAAGGGGGCATGATTCTGGGTCAACAACTAGGTTCGACCAAACCAAAAGAAATTATTTGGTCAGGACGTGGTATATATCTACACAACCAAGAATCTTTCAAACAAATGTGGGACGAAGTCAACGGCAAAGAGTGGTCTTTAGATGCGTCGTTATATCAACTGGAGTGGGCGAATAGCCAAACAGAATTCCTCAGATTTGTCATACGTAAGCTATAAACTTAACTTAAATTTATCTGTACTCTGCTCGTTAGAACAAGAATATTCAGAATTGTCTCTTATTTTCTTCTTTGTTGTTCAAACTAATATTTAAAAAATAATATTTGCAGATCTATGTTTGCGGTCAATCAGCACAAAATAATATGCTCGCACATCAAAAGTAATACATGACGACATGCTCATATAGATTATCTGTTTTGGGAAATCAGAAAATCACGTTTTTCGATACCCAAGAGCATTACTTTTTATATATCTGTTTTCCTAGCTGGAAGAAAACGGATAAACCAATAGGACTAAATCGCGAAAAGGTGTCGATGTTTTGAGTATCAAAAGATCCGATAATTACCAGAAGTGGGTGAACAGATTGGATTTCGATGCGAAAAATTTGACACGACGTTCTGACATTGTCTACGCTAGAAATTTGGGAGTAAACATTTTTTTCGGTTATTATATGTTCAGGTTGTTTAACTAACTCAACAACAAGTGTCGTTGTGTTTTTCCACTTGTTTTACAGATATACTTTCAAAATCGCTGCATTTTTCTGGTAAACTATTGATATGATCATTGATACCTTCAATGGTATTTTAATCTCATGAATTCTGAAATCAAATTTTTCTATTTCTTGTTTATAAGCTATCAATTTTTTCAACGTGAGATTTGAGCATATTGGCTCTTTAGTTTAGCTTGACACAGGCGAGCTATTATTAAACAACTTTTAAGCATCTGTAAACAACAACTCGTTAGCAAATAGGATCAACTTGCAACGGGGCGGTTTGGAAAGAAACTATAGATATTTTGATTCATCCTTTCATGTAGAGGCCGAATCTAATATCCACTTTTTGGTACTAAGTCTACTTTTCGAGAAACGAGCAAAAAACAGTTTTGATCTATAGATATATTTTTTCTTCAAATATCTTTTGTGTATCGAACGTTGTTAAGAAAGTTACAGAGCGGAAAAGAAAATTGTACGATCTTATGTATGTACTTTACAACTATAAAACATTTATGCTCAAAGTCTTGACTATCAAGCAGCGAAAACCGCGGGTCTCTATTTCATTCCTATCAATAGTTATTCAAAAAGCAACCACCTACTTTGTATTTTAGAGCCTATAGTAGAACAGTAACAACCAAAATCGGGTACATTATAAAGCTTATTCGGTTATAATCGTTGGCCGGTTACTTCGGTTTCGGTTTAATGAAAACATTAGTTAACCGAACAGATGCAGATCTACTTGGGAAATGACGAAAAATTTACCATTATCGACTAAGTCCAAAATTCATATACCCTAAAAGCCGCACTGCCTCCTGATCTGCGATTTTGAAGTTCAAGTATCAGTAATATAGACCTATTATCTATATAGGCTCTCATCCTTTAAGCAGAAACCTCTGTAAAGCGTGAAAGATTTCATTTTGAATTACTCAATACAGTTTTGTCGGTTTCATACTTGATGTTAGTGCTGTTCTATATAATCTTTTTTATTTTATTCTTGATAATCGCTGCCACATGAGACTGCTGTTAGATTTCCAAAATGATTTCATTTCAGTGGTACATTCACTTTGTTACAAGTTGGACGTACTGTAACTTGGAAGGTAGATAATATGAAGCTATTTTTACAGTAGTGTTGCAGTTTTTGAGTCACCATGATTATATGGTGAAAAGAGCATTAAATTCTGAGAATGTCAGATTTCCATCGCAGGGAATTCTTACCAACAATGACTCTTAAACAAACCAGCATACCTTCTAGTTTCTGGCCCAATTTATCTCATTGAATAAGCATAAACAGTAATCAGCTGCACAAAATCATGTATGACTGGTACAACAGTTTGACCAATGTCTTCGGAAATAATAAGAATGACTTTTTTTGTTTAAACATCAGTTATATAATCGATACATTCATTTAGATCATTAAGTGTTCTTAAATAATTGATTGATTCACGCAGTTCTGACTGCGTTTCTAAGTTTTCCTCCATATTATTTACAATTTCATCAAACCACACTAACGAAAATATTTCATTTTGGTTGAATCATTTATAGCGTTTGTTGCTATTTCCGATAAGCCATCAGTTATTTCTAGTACAAGAGTACCCGATTAGCACATAGATCGTTACTCATATTTGTATGTTTATTATATTTGAAACATATGATTGTCAAAAACTGTATTGACACATAATACTTCTCAATGTTTTTTTCCTTTCCTTCAACAGGACAAAAGGCAACAGACAATGTTTTTTTTTTTTGTTTCTTTAACTTAATAAATTTTATAACGCATACAATACCGTAAAAGCATCAGTTTTGTGCTCTGTATTGAAAAGAAATGTTAATGTTTTGCTCTTTAAGAAACACACATAAGAACGAAGTTTTTATTCGTATAACCATATCTCCTTAATAAAATCATCGTACATCATATCAATAATTCGATCCACAAACTTAGAAACTGACTTTGGATCATGCCAAACAATATTAGCCACAGCTTGTTACAATGCGGGATCAGATTTTAACGTTTCAATCAATGTTGCTCGCATATCGACTTGTGAGAAATTTGATTGTGAATACTAGAAAGAGAAACAGGTCTTGAGTATAAAGAGAATCTAACAGGCAACCACGTGGGAAGAAAATGGATGTCGAAACCGAGATTCGAACGCAGGACCCTCTAGTAGCAATATCATAATTTAAACAAAAAATGTTTTCCCCTTCCAGCTTAAAATGCCTTTTAGCTTTGAGCTGTATAGAGCTGCTATTACCGTTGGAAATTATACACAGTATATATCCGCTGACCCAGATAAAATTGGGCACTTTCTTTTCGTTGTTTTTGAGGCACTGCTTAGTATTCTAAAGGATTTATTCTAAACTCAATCGATAGAGAATTCAATTCTCTACAAAATCTGCTGTTTGAACGCTGATAACATTTTTCTCGTTAGAGCACCATTGACGATATTGATGCAAAAAAGGGTGCGTAGTTGTCAAATTGCGACAAGCTTTTTAGCCCATTGTCTGAGGCTCAATAGTTAACTTATCTGCGTAGATAGATAGAGAATTTTGTGCTCTATCGATCTCACTTCTTTACAACTTCATACAATGTTTCTGCTACAACAACTGGCCTTATAATTAGCTCTCAATCGGTTTTTCAATTTTTTCAAATTAAATTAAATTTTTTAATTAATGGTTTCAGTTGAGAAACTTTGTATATATATCAAACGATGCCAAATTTAATTCTATATAAGATAATGAGACTAAAACCCTGGATTCAGAACGTTTTACTACTTTTATAGTCAAAAACTAAAGTTTGTGAAAAATAGATTCAAAAGTTAGGTTTTTTGGATTTGTCGGTTTTCTACACAAAGAAATTTTCTTGAAAACTTAACTGTAAAATTCTCTATCGCTTGAGCTTAGAATAAACTCTATGGACTACTGGGCAGTGCCTCAAAAACAACGAATAAAAGTGTCCGATCTTATCAGGGCCATCCGATACACTAGTTTCTGAGAAAATCAAAATATACTCCCATATCGTCAGTCATAAAAAGAACGCTTCCTAACGAGCTACATCCATTTTTGAAATGAGTCCATGTTATAAACGAGACTATCATTGAGCTGAAAATTCCATTAGAATCTGTGATATTTTCGTTTCGTAGAAATACAATTTTTTTAATTTATTTATTTAAATAAAAGGGGAGAGGTCACAGTAACAGAAAAAATACAAAGCTCTACTAGACTAATCTTATCTCAAATGTTGACATAAATTCCATCTTAATCTATGAAGGAGACATTCAATAAAATTTCGCCAACAGATGAATGCGTAAAACAATTCAATGGTTAAATATAATAAATAAAAATCAAAAAATAGTTATGTATAATAAAGGATATCAAGCAGTTTTTGAGCAACATATGCTCTGTGACGATACTTCACTAACTTCTCGTTTAAAAGAGTCAAAATTCTATTTTTCATTTATATGTCTCCGATATATTTCCAATTTTTTTACTTAATACAGGCAATCAACCAACCATTGTATTTCATATATTCTCTTTTATTCTTTCATGTATTGACGGCCCATAATCCAAAAAAGTGTCTCATTTTAACTTGGAGATACAAGAAGATTCGAGATCTTGCACTCTTATGATCAATAAATAAGCGTTTACGTGAACAAAAATTGACTAAAAAGATCATTGCCTAATATGGACGGTGTGTGTCATTTTACTATTATTATACATCACATGTGTAGCTACCGAATTCATCATAAAGGAAGGCGTTACGCTTGATTAGTTGTTGTACCTCTACTTTAGGGCTCCCCTTAGAAAAAAAACATTTTTGGCTTACATCCGATCTTTGATCAAACTTTCAGCAAATATTTACCTTATCAAACTGTGGTTATGAAATTTTTTTGTCTCGCTCTTTCTTACCGTTTCAGAATTTTCCAGAGTCCAGGGTCAAAAACTCACCCTCCGCTGTGGAACACCTTTTTTAAATATACTTCAAGCAAGAGATCTCAGGTTGGTTTTATTTTAAAATAGACACCCAACTACGTGGGCTGATGGGACCAGATTCTTGATTTAGGCCTTTGTTCGTTTTCTAGAGATCCAAGAAACCCGAAAAATCTTTCGGATTTTGCAGAGATCATTAATTTTCCAGAAAACTAAAGCCTAATTCAAAAATCGGCGTCCATCAGTCCACGCAGTTAGGTGTCTATTTTAAAATAAAACCAACCCGAGATCTCTTGCTTGAAGTGTATTTAAAAAAAGTGTTCCACACTGGGCATGTTCGAACAAAAAAGTGGTTTGAGTGTCCAGAAAAAAATTATTATCTGACGACCCTGGTTTTCAGGGCTTCTAGAAAACGTCCTCGAAAACCAGGAAAAAACAGTTCTAAGTCCGAAAGTGATACAAATTTTGAAAGTCCGGGCTATCTTTCCATGTGCTTGTCTTCAAATTGATTTTTTATACAGAATCATCATTTCTGAGGGGGGGGGGGGGGGGGACAGCTTAAGAAAAGTGTGGGGGGGGGCCG